CACAAGAAATACCTCAGGAAGCAAGCTTTGAGCCAAAAAAAACTGAGAAGGATTCTCACACCACCCCGTGGCTCAAAGATTGCTTGAAATAAAGCATAAGTGACCCTCCATGGTGGTGAGGAAAAGAAAAGGGAGAAAATAAAAAGACAGCAAAGAAGCAGGAGGTAAGGAGGAGAGAGGAGAAGGGGAAGATAATCGTTACACAGTTACTACAAAAGATTTCTTGGGCTTGGTTACAAATGTTGCCCTGATCTGTTGGACTTGTCCATCATCAGTTGAAGTAGTTACAAAGTACATGGAAGATACAACACGTTGTATAAGTTGAATAAAACATGGAATCGTACACGGTACAAACATAAGAGTTGCAACAACACACAATAGATAAAACAGGATACGTTTGACCCATGGGCCACCTGGAAGCCAGGAAAAGAAATCAACGTCTAGGCCCTTCTAGGTTTGGACAGGAACATGGGCTATTTTCCATATACCCTGGGCAATTTGTTTAACAACTTTACCATTATCATCAATCTTTAGACAACAATTAGAATCATTCAATTTGCCACAGACACCACTCGGTGATATCTCAGGAGTGGTGACATGATGAATGTTGTTACATGTTGATGTTACATGATGAATTAAAGGTAGAAAGTGAAAAGAGACAACCATACATTTAGCAATGACCACACATTTAACAATAACCAATATTAATAATAAATAGGTAAAACAAACTTAGGTATTTGTGTCAGCTGCTTTCCCCACCCAGGAACTCCCAGTGTAGGCCAGGATCCAGATGGGAATTCTTCAGTAGAGGTTGTGGTGTTTATGAATAGCCAGACAATATTACACTACAGTTAATTCACTAAAAGTGTATCTAGTCTAATTTGACAATATGTGGACCTGCCATGTAATGTTTTCTAAGATGATTTAGTGTCTCAAGAACTTTACACTTGAGAATTTCCAAAGCAATTCAAATGCTGAGAGATATAAATATTAGTTTGGCAAGTTCAAGTATTGTTACAGTCCACAGAACATTTCACAGGACAGTGTGTGCAGGATACCCCCACAGTATAAACCACCAAAGAGGGGTAATCCCAGAAACATACACATCTCTTATTAAAACTTAGACACTTTCCAACAACCATGTTTTGGACGGAACTCCTAGACTGATGTGACACTGAAAAGCATCAGTGCAAAAGGCTTTCTGATAGATTTCTTTTGTGACCACATCTAATAGATATTAGATGGATCCCTTGATTCATTTCCCAGTTTGTTAGGAATTTGGAAACACTGTGAAGGAGTTACATGCAAATCATAATCAGTTTGGTAAAAAGGGGTGAAAGAAGGGGTCAAAAGAAAAGGTATCACTGTGCAGGGAGTACCAGTAAGCCAGGATGACCTGTAAAAAACCCTGAACCCTGTTGTGAAGTTTAACAGCACCAAGGACTGATACCAATCACCACCCATACCCATAACAACACAAAACATAACACTATTGCAACCAAAAAAACGTAATCAAGAGGTACATTCAGTGTTCTAGCATGATCAAATCAGTATTTCTGTCACAAAACACAAATAGTTAAAATCAGCTATTAGCCTTTTTGTGTTCTGTCAAGGTCCCACGGGGATCTTCTGTGAAATAAAACAAGACACCGACTTGCCCTTTTTGGGCTTTGTTAATAGGGTTAAAAAATGAGGGAACAATACAGCAAGTGTTGATTTCATATTCCTTTCTGGGGTGTCTTTAGCCTTCCAAAGATATCTGTTAAGGGATCCTGTTAAGGTTAGGGGAAATTGTCCTCAGGCTAGCTGAGTCAATCGACACAGTCTGGCCAGGGAGGTAAGAGTGTTTCCCTGGCTTATCAGCCACTGGATCGTGACTCACATGGATAACTGGCAAGAGTGGTGAGGCCTATGGCAGAAGGTGTTAAATCGACGATCTTGTTTCCCTTTGTTGTGAGCTTTCTAATGCATCCACCCTTCACCGCCCCCACCCCGCTCACTTAGGAGGGGCGAAGACATCAGTTTTCTAATGGCTTGGATAGCCGTTAAGGTTCCCTGGGAGAGACCGTAGGACCTGGGGTTTTGCTTTCCTCAAGATTTTGGAGCTTTTGTTCTGGCCACCAGTTAACTAATTTCTCTAACCTGACAGTGGGTAATCCATTCATCAAATCTCGTGGAACACCCTTTTGCCAGCCCAGTGTCCAGAGACAATTACGTTTATGATCAATATTTCTCCTACCTGTTTTTACTGACAGTGAGACCCTTCCAGTCCCACTGAGCTTTGAGCTAGGAGGCCTGGGGGCAAGGCTGACTACTGCAAGTCTTACTTCTCTTGGCTCAAATTTGGTGGAGGAAGAAACCACTGGCCCATATTTCCTTCCATAGTTAATTAACTCTTGGGCAACCTCTCCCCACGTCCATGCTTTGTTTCCTGACTGCAGATGGTTGGGGGTTACAGTTCCTTCTAACACTGGCCGGGTTCTCTCTCCCTGAGACATAGCCTCTATTTTTCCTTGCAGTTGGAAGTTCCTATAGGTTTTAACGACTCTGGAAGCCCCCTAATTAGAGCAGTCATTCTCTCAGGATCAACAGGCATCATCGTAGGAGATTCAGGATGTGGCTGCAGCTTTCTATCATACATCATTTGGAGACAAGCAGCCTTTTGAACACTCTCTACTAACTGATCAACTGTTCCAGTAATGGCAAGAGGGTCTCCCCGTTCTAAAGGATTGAGACCACCTGCCCAATAGGCAGCTCTTAGCATTAAGGACCAGGGAGCACGATTGTTACCAGTAGTTAAAAATACTCCTGGTCCCCAATAACCTTCTGCTTCCTTTTCTGTTAACCGAATCTGGTCGCCACCAGTGAGACTCACCCTCCATACATATTCTGTTTCTGATTCCTCTGGAGAGCGGCTGAAATCTTTCTTCAATTTCGCCAGTTCAGTGGCTGAGAAGGGAATTTCTTTAACATTCATTTGAGGATCTAGATCCTCACTGTTATCGAATATGTATTCAGTTTTTATCAAAGGATGCAATGGGGCTATTGGAGTTTCTAATTTATCTAGCCTTTCCTTCATTCCTGGTAGTTCCACGTGAGGAAAAGTTTTTTCTCGAGGACAACTATGGTATGGCTGGCATGCTTACACGTTAGCTGTTCCTTAAAAGCCATTTGCAACAAAGCCGAATTACGTTTCTAATTCTTTCTCGAGATTAACTATTTGATTCTGCAGAGTTGTCACCGATTCTTGTGTTACTTTAACCGATTCCTACAGTGCTTGTATAGTTCGGGTTTCTGCCGAATGCTTTTCATCTCGGAACTCCACGGCTGCTTTTAAAGTGGCCCCGAGTACGGCACAAATAAAGGACTTCCCTTTTCCAGCTCGTGTACAAGCCTCATTCTGTAAGACACTAATGCGATCCGAAACACTTTGCAAGTTATACCAGTTCTGTCGTGCCCAGTCCACCCCTGACAAAGAGGGACGAGCACCATGCTTTTCTAAAAGGTCAAATAACACATCTTCACTTTTCATACTGGCATTACTGTTACTCATTTCTTAATACAATGAAAGATCTACACTAAGGGAGGAGGAGGTACACGTATTCAAAAGCTCAGTTACTCCTTTCCGCTCCTCCCAAGGAGATAGACCACAACTAAACAAATGCAAATGCTCCAATAACGACTCCCTTTTGTTGACGGGAGCACAAAAAATGTGAAGCTAAAGCAACACTTTCTAGGTTTCAATAGAGTAAATAAACTTTCTTGGAGAGGCACACACGTTTAAGTAACAAAATATCACGTCCTCACTTCCCCAAGAGGCGCGTGTACGCAGACACACACACACACACACACACACACACACACACAAAAAAAGGTTCAAGTTTCGCACTTCAGTTACCAAATAACCATAGAGGTCTTCCCGAGGAGGCACACACGTATTAAACAAAATGCAAGTATTCAAAATACGTCCCCGAGAGGTACACACATAAAAGGTAAAGTTTCAGAATATGGAGCGGTCTTCCTGGAGAAGGACTCACGTCTAAATTTTCAAAATTATTGCTCCTTGCAACTCCAGGAGGTGCACACAGAAAAAATTGCATGACTGGACCACTCGACCACTCTGAAACTATTGAAAAGGGGCCATCATCAACATGGTCGTCTCTCGTCGTGCTTCGTCAACAGAACAGAGTTCTATTGAAGCAGACCTCATACATACACATTGAATCAGCTGTACAATTTTCTCTTCATGTTTCCAGAACAGCAGGAGTTTACCCCTGACCTACTCAATCTTTGGTTCAGGCTGTGACCTAGCAACTCTGCTGCACTCCATCCCTTCACAGCCTGAACCAATGATTGAACATTAGTTGAGAGGTCAAGGCTATCCCAGGGAGCTGAGGTGCAAGCAATGATTGGAAAAGGTGCTTTTATTTAAGTGTTAGCAGCAGAGGGAGCAGTATCTCTCTGAGTTTGCTCTTCTTTTGAGTTGTTACTAGTTTCTGGAAAGGGTGAGTGAGGAAGACTGTTAAGCAAAACAGACCTGGCTGGCCTGAAAGGGTCAAACAGGGAACACGCAGCCCCTCCTGAAAGGGAAGGACTGCCATGTGAAACATGCGGCCCCTGCTGAAAGGGAAGGACTGCCATGTGAAACATGCGGCCCCTGCTGAAAGGGAAGGACTGCCATGTGAAACATGCGGCCCCTGCTGAAAGGGAAGGACTGCCACGTGAAACATGCGGCCCCTGCTGAAAGGGAAGGACTGCCATGTGAAACTGGCAAGCATAAGCTACAGCTTCTTCGTTCCGTGACCAAGAGCAGAACATGTTCTGTGAAGAGAACACTTCACAGTTCACTTTTGATCACTGTACTGACCACAATCCACAAAGAGCTAATTAAGTAATGATGTATTGCTGTCAGCTGCATGAATGTTGTCTGATTTAAGTGTTGTATACTTCTGTAGCTAAAAGAATATAAAAACCCTGTAACAACAATAAACTTTGCTTCTTGCGCCACCAGAGCCTAAGCCCGTCTGTCCCAGGCGTCTTGAGCTGGTCTCCGTCATTTGGTGCCGAATCCCGGGAATCTCGGACTCCAATGACAAAGGCGTCGCTTCCTCCCACGAGCCGCGGTTGGTAAGTTGATTTAGGGAGGTAAGGACTAGGGAATTGGACAGATTGTTAAATAAAATGGGACAAGCTGCAAGTACTGAACGAGGCATTTTTTCTGCAATGCTGAAATCATTATTAGTTGCCCGAGGAGTAAAAGTGACTTGGGTCAGATTAGTCGTTTTTTAGATTTTATAGAGGAAGTATGCCCCTGGTTTCCCAGGGATGGAACTATTAATATTGAAACTTGGAACAAAGTAGGTGAAAGACTCCAGGACTATTATGCTGTGCATGGTCCTGAGAAGGTACCTACTGATACCTTTACGCTTTGGACTCTAATAAAAGAATGTCTCAGAGGAGACACAGGAGATGAGAAGTGGCAGCGGACCACTCGCTCAACAGAAAAGTTATATCCTGCCTTGTCGCGATCAAAATCTCTTGATCACATCCCTTCTTCTATGCCATCAGCACCCCCACCCTCCCCTCCCCAATATGAGCAACCTTTGATTTGTAAATTAGCGAACGACTTGCCGCCTTGTAAACCTCCTGGCACTAACATAACAAAAGATATTTTACCCCCTGATGATTGGGGAGAATTAGAAAAAGAGGCTGCTGAATATCACCATAAGGACTTAGCGGCTGTATTCCCAGCGTTACAGGTTGCTAATGCCGCTGTGCAGACACAACAGATAGTCGATCAGGCTCGATCACATCCCCTTGCTGTTATGCCTGCCTTTCGAGCAGGGCGAATGCCTCCCCCGCCTGGAGTAGGCGCTTTGCTTATGCAACAATCTCCTATGCAATTGGCTTTGAAAGAAGCTAGGAAAGCTGGGGAAACAGTAGATGAATTTTCTGGGCAACTTTTTCCGTCTCAAGTTTTCCCTGTCATACAGCGTCAACTTGCAAACGGTGGCATTCTGAATGATTCTGAGCCTATTCCTTTTAAACAACTGAAAGAGCTTAAAGCTGCTAATATTCTTCCCCCTTCTGACTGGAAAAGCTTGGCAAAGGCTGTGTTAAGTGGAGGTGAATATTTGCTTTGGACTTCCGAATATGCGGAACGGTTCTTCTTGTGCCCCTTTATTACCAGTTCCTCATTTTGGAGTGAACCCCAGAGGATTAATGCCTAATGATTTATGGCAGATGGATATCACACATGTACCTTCTTTTGGAAAATCTTCTTATGTCCATGTAACAATTGACACTTTCTCTCACTTTGCAGGAGCCCTCAGCCTTGTCTGGTGAAAAACTCTCTCATGTATGCAACCATCTTTTGCATTGTTTTAGCGTTATGGGAACACTGAAATCATTAAAAACCGATAACAGGCCAGCTTATGTAAGTAACGGTTTTGCAACCTTTTGTCGACATTTTAAAATTTACCATAAAACTGGAATTCCACATCATCCAGAAGGCCAAGGCATAGTAGAAAAATTTAATCATTTACTGAAAACTCAACTAAAGAAAATAAAAAGGGGGACATGAGGAATTAAAGATACTCCGTCCTCTATGTTATCACATGCATTATTTGTTCTAAATTTTTTTACATTGGATGATGACAGAAAATTGGCTGCGGATAGACATTGGAGTAATAAAACAAGAGATAAACCAATAGCATATTGGAGAAATCCAATGGATGGTAAAACTTATGTTCCTGATCCTGTACTAATTTGGGGCAGAGGGTATGCTTGTATCTTCCCTACAGATGAGCCATCACCACGGTGGATCCCTGAACGACTCATTCGACATGCTGAAAACCAAGATGGGAAAACTGCGGAGGAAGATGCAGAGACTGACACTAACCCAGACGTGGGAAAGAAAGATGCAAGTGAGAATACGACTCGTGGCCCTAATCCTTAGTACCTTTTGGATCCTACATCATGGCTGTAAAGCAGAAACATATTGGGCATTTGTACCCAATCCTCCTGTCATTCATCCAGTAACATGGGATGAACCCGTGGACATTCCGGTTTACAACAATCAAACAATGTTTATGGGGCAGTATTCAGATGGACACATAATAGAGTTCTCTGCACGTTTTAATTATTCTGGAAAGGTTGATGGTATGCCTATATGTTTTCAGATAAATCAAACACAATCCCTGTGAGAGAAAGTGGTAGTGCAAAATGATTGGGATACCAATGTTTCAACAGGAATTCATTGGGCTCTGAATTTTCTCTATATAGATTTAGCTAATGGGACAAGGGGTTCTGGAACGCCTCCCTTAAATTTTCCTTTATGTCAAAGCACAATCACTCCAAAAACAGAATTTGCACCTTTATGGAGAGCATGTCGAGCTAACGAAACGGTGTGCATTGATTCCACTATCTGTGATTGGAATATGATAGGAAATCAAGGGCGACCAATTAATTTGGTCTCAGGAATTTGGACAAAAAACAATCATACGTTCTATTCTAATTTATGGAAAGCAGTCGCAGCCATGGAAAAAATCAAAGCAAAATGATTAAACTTGACTTGGATTCAAATAAATAATAAATGGGCAATGACTGCAGAGAGTTATACAACTGAGTTTTATATGCGAGCTTGTGTTCCAGAACCTTATGCCTTTTTAAGCGGACCACTAAATATTGTGAATAGCATAGTGAGTTGTACCAATTGTGTAATCTCTAATTGTCTTAATAGTAGCAGTAGTTCCTTCTTGTTAGTGAAGCAACCCGATTATGTCTATCTTCCTGTAAATTTGACACATTATTGGTATGCTGATAAGGGAATGGAAATTCTCCAAGAAACTTCTTTGCAATTAATAGAGAGATCTAAGCGAATGGTCGGATTAATAATAGCCGGAATAGCTGCGCTCATTGCTGCCATAGCAGTAACTACAGTTGCTTCTATTTCTTTAACAACTAGTATTCAGACAGCAGCTTATGTTAATGAATTATCAATTAATGTATCTAAAGCATTACAAAATCAAGCTACATGGGATGAAAAGATTGAACTGCGTCTCAATTCCTTAAAAGATACAGTAGACATCCTGGAAAGACAGTTACAAATTATAGCTACTCGTGAATCTCTCTTGTGTCATGCAGAATACCGAGCTATCTGTGTGACTCCTGTTGAATACAATAATACTAAATTCTCTTGGAACAAAATACAAGATCATCTTCAAGGCATATGGAATAATGCGAACACATCATTAGATCTTAGGGAATTGAGACAGCACATTCACGATATGATACAATCACACCATATAGATCTTTCAGTAGCAACTCAAACTACTACATTTATAAGCGCTCTAAAATCTGCATTTCCGTCCTTCAAATCATTTAGAAAAGGAATTTATGGGCTGATAGTCATTGCCATAATAATAATCATAGGAATTCTTGCTTGTCCATGCTTGATGAAAATAATAACAAATAGATTCCAAAATTTGCGTATAAATCTTAAAAAATTGGAGATGGAAAACACAAAAAATAAACCACCACCACCTCTGGTCTAATAAAATAAAAAAGGGTGGAATGAGGAAGACTGTTAAGCAAAACAGACCTGGCTGGCCTGAAAGGGTCAAACAGGGAACACGCAGCCCCTCCTGAAAGGGAAGGACTGCCATGTGAAACATGCGGCCCCTGCTGAAAGGGAAGGACTGCCATGTGAAACTGGCAAGCATAAGCTACAGCTTCTTCGTTCCGTGACCAAGAGCAGAACATGTTCTGTGAAGACAACACTTCACAGTTCACTTTTGATCACTGTACTGACCACAATCCACAAAGAGCTAATTAAGTAATGATGTATTGCTGTCAGCTGCATGAATGTTGTCTGATTTAAGTGTTGTATACTTCTGTAGCTAAAAGAATATAAAAACCCTGTAACAACAATAAACTTTGCTTCTTGCGCCACAAGAGCCTAAGCCCGTCTGTCCCAGGCATCTTGAGCTGGTCTCTGTCAGGTGAGCTAATTTTTCTTCATTACCTGCTGCTATGGTTCTTGTAGGTTATGTATGGTTACCTGTTAGGTATGGTCATATGGTCCTGTATGGTTACCTGCTATGGCGCTTATATCCCATTAGAAAGCACTGTCATTACATTCTTTTGCCATGTGACTTAGTCTCAGGTACTTTTTTCTGTCTGCCTTCCTTTTCCAAGACTCACAAACTGCATTTCAGGTATTGCTGTCAAGAGTGTCAAAAGTTATGCTTTTAAGAAAAGAGTTATCTGCTCATGGGTAAGGTATTCTGCCATGTATTCATTATAAAAAGAAGTTAAAAAAAATAATAAAAAAAAAAAGGATGCTTCAGATAAGAAGCATTAAGAATGACTTTACAG